TAGGAACAGATTCCATTTCTTGGTTGGCTTCTTGTAGAGGAAATCAAGTAAATCATTTATTCTTGTAGAGGAAATCAAGTAGATCATATCTAAAAAAAATCCGAACTAAATATTCAAATTATATCGAGAGAAAAAAAATCCGTGAAAAAATCCGCAATAATTATGCATCAACCTAATAATTACAGGGACATTTACAACCAGACGGTTTCGCTATTAATTATGTCTTGTAATGGAGGTAAGGGCAAATGTGTAAGAAAGGAAGCCGAGATACACATTTGAGAGTTGAGTAAAAGAATTAGGTCTTTGGGCGTTAATCAATCCCGTCTAGGGGATGCGCCCAAACATTCGACTTCCGTTCAAGAGCTTCAAATGCTCCCTTACTACCAGAGCTTCGAGTGATCTCAGATTTCCTGAGCTTCAAGTAGAGAATTTGGAAAGATTCCAAACTTTTCGGAGACAGCATTAGATCGACGAATTGGAGAAATCATATTCCAATGTTAGGATGCTATCCCTTTTCATTGTTCTAATATCGATATAAACATGATGAGATTTTCGATATTCAAAGCCTCTACCAAAGCCTCGCAGTGCCATAATTTACTGAAAACTGGGCTTGTTTTCTGGAAAAATATTTGTGGAACCCCACTTTTTATTTTGAAAAACTCATTTTGTCCGTGATTTTTCGAAAGAGGCGGATCTTTTAGTGGTGTCGGCCAAGGGGCAGTGTGGTCACTTGAGCATGAGCTTGATTATTAGTGCACATTAATGTCAGTTCACCGTTAGATTGTGGGAAACGGCTTCTTCACAAGCTAAGGTTAGATTTTGCCCCAGTATGAATTTTTTGCAATTTTTCTGGTTTCCACCCATTCAGATTTTTTATTCCCGTTTAGTTCCAAGGCTTTACTACAGCACCAACAACACCAAATAACGAAAAAAAAGGCAAATAGACATGTCTAAAACTGTGACGCATTAATGCGATACTACTGGACTGACTCAAAAGCTGAAGAAAAATGGGAGAAAAATACTTTGTTGAAAACAACACCGAAATGATAAATGAATGCCCAAGTTTCAATCATATGACAACATTCCGCTATCGCTATCAAACCCAGCAGTTTATTTAGCAAGCTGCCCGTCTGGGTCCATTTATAAACAGGAAATAAGTAATATGAGCGGGGTGAGGTACACGGGAAAATATAGAATATTTCGAAATGAGAACTCCGTGACTTACTGTGAACTGCCTGACGCTGTTCTATAAGCTCTTTGACTAGCTGTTGAAAGGCAAGTTTTTGGCTGTCAGGAATCTTTTGTTGAATCAATTTTGACCATAATTGCTCACCAGAGGCTTGTGAATCTTTCTGAAAGTAAAATTTCAAACAAGCCGGAACGTTGAAATTTTCCTGAATTCACTCAAAAGAAGGGTACTGAAAAAAGGACAATCACGTTTTCTATTTATTAGAGTAATATTCAGCTTTAAATTGAAGACTTTTGATTACATACTGGTTCAAAGAATTCTTTCCTTAGTCTGTCCCTGTCCTTGTTCATTTCCACTAGGTTCTAGGATATAAGTTCATTGCTTTCTCGAACTACCTCATACACCAGAAGGAGATTCCGTAGTTGCACCCTGAATTCGCTGAAATTTCATTCAGGAATAAAACGAGTCGAATACACACAAAATGTCATACATGTATTGATTAGTTTCTCATTTTAACTAAAAAGTCAGGAGCACTTCGAGTTTGTCGAGCAAAAGAGAGGTTTTGCTGCTGCCAATAAGCTGGATGTGAGTTCTTCGCCTAAGGGGCGTATCGATTTGCAGCCGCTGGCTCGAAGATGGGATTTCGCGCTGAATTGTATATGAATCCATTTTACATCATTTAGTAGTCCCCTCTGATCATTTTGCCTTCGTTTTCGGGCAAGTGGAACTTCAGAGAACCCCAAGGAGCAGACCTACTTCACAAACTGAATCGACTTGCAATCAAGAACAGCAATATGGCTGATAGTATAATATTTAGGACGGAGGGTATGCAGTGCACTAGTTTTTTACAATTTCGATCGTCAATTATATGGCCCTGGCCTTTGAGGGCTTAGCCTGACGTTCCCGAAACTCGTGTTTATCAGGAGAGACGCGGTTCCCAACCCCAGACATAAATCACTATTTGAGCACTTTTCAAAACAATCAAAAAACTACTGGGGAGCTACATATTTCATCGGAAGCAAGGGTTGAGCTGTCGATCTACATCATCAGCCTGCAATCAATCAAGTTTCAATCTAACCGAGTAGAAAACTCCAACGCCAAACGTGATCGAGTAGAAAACTACAATAGATGAGATTACCTTATAATGTGTCTGAATCCTCCCCAGAGGTGGTGTGCTGGCTGATAGAACAGTTTATGAAGTGAGTCGATTGTCATGACTTCCATTTGTATTCTCTTTGTTTGGGCAGCTGCCAGAGGTTTAACATGCTAGAAAGTAATTGGAAAAGAAGAAATGAAGCCACTGCACGGTTTCGAAAACTCCAGAAGCACGGGTTCGAAAGCTAGAGAAGGAAACAGTCATCCATTAAGCATCCCCTTTATGTTTGAAAAGTAAGCGATGTAAAAATATAACTCAATCATTCCCACTGTGTTTTTCCAGTCACCGTGCATTCATTTTATTTCATTGTTATTTAAAAAAAAGATAAATCAGAGGGCATTGCGTTAAACAATGCCAGTATAGAGATATGAACTGCTGCAGGAATTCGGAAAAATTTCACAACATAACCATCACCGTCTGAGTTGCCAGTAGGGTCATCAAATCGGGATGCTGACATGATTATGGGACCTTTTTACCAAGTGCGTGACCGTGACGGCCGGATTCGTGCAACCAGAACAGCTATACAACTTTTCGAAGGGATGGATCGGATCTCACAGTCGCTCTATCGACTAGTTTAGATCTTCGGCTTTCTTCTTTCCGCCAATTTTGCATAGTCGTAAGGTCCGCCGTTTCCGAGGGTTGTACCCACTTCCTTCAATTTGGCATCTTTGCCGTTATCCTGATAGGCGAATTCCTTTCAATGACCTCCCTCCCTCTCTTCAGAGTCGTTCCTTCTGAACTCCAAAATCCATTACTTTCGCAGCACGTGCCCATGCGTAGATGCTGTTCGCTCATTTTCAACTCGATAAGAGTTGTCTGCAGTGAAATTCACACCTCTCCGTACTTGACGAAGTCCAGCGCAGTTAACACTGGACACACCATTTTTCACCACAAGCAACGTTAGCTGCCGTGAAGCATCGTGGACCACACCACCACTCTGTATATCTTCACTCTAAGCCTCCGGAAGCACTGCCAATCGAAGTGACACCACCTTCATCCATCTAATATCCAGACCTCTACATTCTGCTCCAAATAACCGTCGGCCGCTAAATAACTTCCACGTTATGAGAAGTTTCCAGCTCTCAGCAAGTCCTGCCACTTCTATGTACAACTTGCATTGAACTTTTCTCCGTTATTCGCTATTAGCACGATGTCTCAGGTGAAGAACTTTCTCCAGTGGTTCATTCATGAGACATTCCGTGAAGAAATCCAGTATCACTGGGAAGAGGACTGGCTAATAGCTGATCATTGGTGTTTTAAGCCTCAGATCTCAGGTGTTCTAGGGGTCTTTATTCTCGGAGCACCTATAAAGTGAGCACTCCAAGAGAGTGCTCGCATTATAGGTGCTCCACTAATCGTAAGTGGACAGGTCGCTCGTCTGTCTTTATGGTATCGCAGTAAACCTAACATCGCAGTAGTTGGGAGATTACATGAGTCCCACTTCGTCTTGAAGGCGAGAACCAAGAGTGGATACTACCTTGCCACGCATTCGGTATTCTTCTCTTAGCAGGCACACTGATCAAGAGCCGGGTTAGCCGAACACGTCTTTCCCTTTCCTGCTTTCCCAATTTTCATTTTTCCTATTGCTCGTTAGACGTCATTTTCTATTCACCGTGCGATGAAACCAACTGTCATTTCTATATGTATGTATGAAAGCTGCTTATGCTGAGGAATTCTTTGTTAAAGATCCTGATCACTCTGAAGTCTTGTGCGATTCTATACCGGGCTTTGGGCAGCCTGAAACGAACTTCTCTCTTCTCGACCTAGAGCTTCTCGGGCAGAGCGTCCGATGGTATTGAGCTTTCCCTGTTCCCACGACGCCCTCCGAAACACGTATCTTTTGCTAGTGCTTTTATGCTTCCTTCTTTTGCTTTATATCTGGCTCACTTCGTTGTTCCAGGTCAATAGTGCATTGGTCCTCTGAGTCCATTTCGAGTATCAACTGTTCTGGTGGCATCGTTAAGGCTCGGATAGAACTCGTCCTTTTCGTTGTCGGAGAGGCCGGCTCGCGATGTATTTCTGCCCTCGATCTTTGATCCTGTTGACAGCGGAAACAGAGTCCTCGAAGGTTTTTATCACTGCAATGGTCGTGCCATTCAGTTTCGTGTCTTCTCACAAGTTGAAGGAAAACTTCACACCTACCTCGATTTCTCTGGGCTTCGCTCCCGCCAAGCGGGTATCGTGAAGATACAGGACTGAATATTCTCGAATCTGCGGAATCGATTGAGGAATTGAGACTTTTTGTCATTTACAGTCAATAAAATTACGTTGAATTTGTGTCACCGTCGTTCTTCAGTGTGAGGCTTGCTTTATTCATTCTCGCTGGAAGGTGCTCAAAGGTACGGTTCACGATAAAAATGGTTACTGAGTTCTTCCTTTAAGAATACTCAGTGGCCCCCATGGGTGGTAGGGTCCTCTCGCTCCCATAATCTCGACGGTCAGGGCATAGTGGAAGCCCTGTTGCTGTCTTGAGTGGCTTTCCCACCTCTCGATCGATATCACGTTAGACGAGTGTCGAGACAATACAGATTGCAATTTTCGCTCTAGGACTCACACAATCAGCCGATCGCCGAGTAATGAGGCGATGATTTCCCCCCATTCTTTTTCCCTCTCTTATTCTTTTTGCTGCCGCGATCCCTTCTTTAACTTCCTACCCCAGCAGGCTGAGAAAGGTAAGCTACTTTTGCTGCTACTAGGGTTTATTTTTGTTTACTTATGCTTGTAAATGAATGAATTTTTGCTTACTATAGTCAGACATTTGAACCAGGACCCACACGTGCGCAATGACGCGCTGTGCGTAGCTCGTGCAAACGCTCCACTCTTCTTCATCGTTTTGGTATCATTCTCCCCTTTTTAACGTCCAGCCCCCTTTTTGACGATTTTTCGAAGCCTTTTTTCACTGCGGAAACACCGATTGACGCAGTTCTTCGCCTCCATCGCACCATTTTCCATCTTATATCCCATTTTTCTTCATAATCTGGTTTACCCAAAATTATCGTGAACTGCGCCTCTAATATTAAACCAGCAACGGTGCATAATAATGCCATTAGGTCTTTAGAGTTCAAGTTTAGTGTTGAGCAAATGAATTAGGGCAGTTAAATCGAAGAAGGAGAAGAAGTGTTTTGATGATGCACGAAATTCTAGAGAAGGGGTTGATCAAATGGTTATTGTTTTTCAAATTAGACGATCTAGAACTAACGCGGAAAAATAGCTTCATTTTCGGCTTCCCAACCCTAGTTCAGTGTAAGGAATTAGTTGCTCAGAACATGCAGGATGATCGGTGATTTTTCTTTCTTGTTGATATGGTGTGTGTCTGCTTTGCTATTTTGTTTCTGATGCATTATGTTATTTTGGGGTTACTTCTTATTTCACATGCTCTAAATAAATTGGAACTCGAACTCCTCTGACCTTTACTCCTTTCTAGCAGGTCTCGCGGAAGTGTAGGGCATCTTTAGTCCTCACACACAATCCGCGAATTCGCTCTGGGTCCTGTGGACAGTATGGGAGGTCTACGCCACACCCAGGTGGCGTCCTAGTATTTATACTGATTCCTCTAGAGACTTTTGAAATGATTTGTGACAAGGTTCTCCATCAGCCGGCTGTCAATCCGGGCTTGACTCTGTACCTTAGCAGATCGAAAACCAGCGAGAGGGAGAAGACAGCTTTGTGTGGATTAGGTAGGAGAAGCTGCTAAAACCTCACGGACATATCAATTGGCGCCATTGATCGCTGCACTAGTAGTATACATATGTCCACTCCAACTCTTCAACTGCGAATTCCTGCCACACATACGCAAACGCCCACACCACACACACAGCCTACCGCAGCTTGGCTCAGTTGTTCCAACTCAACTGTTATGTAAACTGGTGGCAAATGCTGACGAATAGACGCGTCAAGTTTGTTTTTCACACAAAGTAGGGAATTTATCCTGCGGAGGACACATAGAGAAGAATAAAAGCTCAGAATCTCAGAAGTGATCTCGGAGTTTCCGATACTTCCATCATTTCATCCTAGAAACACATCTCCAAACACGCAGAAGCTTCTCCCTGAAAAACCTCTTTTAACGTTTTGCATGGCACTCCCTTTTTTCCGCAATTTCAAGTGCGAAAAGCCTTTTCTTACGGAGTCTTCAAAATACGATATGTTTCAAATTCAACCTCGCAAGGCACAGTTTCCTACCAGTATATTTCCAAA